CCCGAGAAGGTGGACGATGTGCTGGGGTTGAACCTGGCATGATTTGCTGCATGGAGAGAAAGTCACAGCCCCCAGGTCACATCTCTACCTTTGGTTCAACATCCCTGTCCCCACACGGGCAGAAATCCCCAGCAAGTGGCTTCCCAAGGAAGGGATCATGAAAAACCAGAAGGGATCATGCTGGTGTCACCGAGCAGAGAGCAAACACCAAACCCCACCAGCTCTCATTGTTTTCCCTCTCACAGCACCAGCTCACAGCGTGCAAGGGGTGTCCAAGAACACCAATGGTTGAGGAACCCCAGCTCCCCAGCACCGCCATGTCCCCCAGGGATGCTCACCACAGGCTGGAGTCTGGCAGTAGGTGGAGGGAACCCAGAGGTTGGCAGAGCCGGTGTCGAAGAGCACCAGGAAATTTTGTGGGGGGGTCCCAATGCTGATCTCCCCGAAGTAGAAGGACTGTGAACAAGAGCATGGGTGGATTTCTGTTTCTGCTTGTGTTTTCGAATGGGAGTTTTTAGCTCTGTGCCCTCTGCTAGGTGAGAAACCCAGACCATGAAGGTGTTGTGGGAAGGGCTCGTAGTCCCTGAGTGCATCTAGGGCAGCTCAAGCATGAAGGGGCAATGATTTACCTGCGACATAACAAAGTCAGCAGCAAGGCCAGGGGGAGTAGATCTGCCTTATAACCATCAAACCCTACTTTTTCCAAGGGAAATCATAGAATCATTTGGTTGGAAAAGACCTTTGAGATCATCGAGTCCAACTGTACCTGTCCACTACTAAACCAGATCTCTGAGCTCCTCATCTACCCGTCTTTTAAATCCCTCCAGGGATGGGGACTCCACCACTTCCCTGGGCAGCCCATTCCAGTGCCTGAGAACCCTTCCAGTGAAGAAATTTTTCCTGATTCCAACCTCCCTTGGTGCAACTTGAGGCCATTTCCTCTTGTTCTATCACTTGTTACTTGGGAGAAAAGACACACACCCCCCTCGCTACAACCTCCTTTCAGGTAGTTGTAGACAGTGATAAATCTCAAAGTCAATTCAGGGTAAGAGGTGCTGCCTCCCACCTTTGTCTCCCGATGTCACCCAGCACTCAGAGCCAGGCTACAAAGACAACAAACCTCCAGCCCCTCAACTCATGAGTGAGGAGGGAGCTGAGCCACCCGTCTTTTTGTCCCCAAAACCCAGAGCTGAGTGTCCCAGGGGGAAAAGGAGAAGCTTTAATACTTACATCCAGGTAGTTCATTAGCGGTTCATAAGCCACAGCATTCTCCAGCTGGTATTTCCTACCAGGGTCCCCTTTGAGTTGCTTCAGGAATTCCTCTGGCACCCCCTTCTCTCTCATCACCTCCCGTATGGACCTGCCTTTCCTCAGGGGGATCCTGTGTGGGATGGAGATGACAACGAGGTGCTCAGCAGCCAGGTGGCCCTGTCCCCACGTACGTCCTCATGTGCTGAGGGTGACCCTTGCTCCGCAGCCAGACCCTGCACCCTCACACCCACCCCAACCCCAGGGCTCACCTCACCATCCCCTCCCCGAGCTGCAGGCAGAACAGGGCTAGCACTAGCCACCGCATGGTCCTAGGTGCTGGTGCCTCCATGGCAGCTCCTGCACCACCTTGGCCAGGGCAGGGTGTATATAGCCCAGAGCTGAGCCCACCCCCTCGCTCCAGACACCCCTTTCCTCTATCGCTGCACCCACCCAACGCCAACGCTTGCGGTGTGTTTATCACCACAGCCACCCTGATTTTGCCTCCTTACCTGGCTCTTTGGGTGCTAACAGATTGGCCAGTACCTCTGATATCAAGATCAAATATGTGACATCTGATAAAAAGCAAAATTCTGTTGTTATCAAGAAGTTAAAGTATTTTCTCTTGCCTTTAACACCAGCTTGATCTTTCCAGAAAACAAAGGCAAAACACACCCTTTGTAGCAAATGGAAATTTCTGACGTTGGTGTTCCTCTTCTCACCCATCCAGGCAGCCAAGGAAGTGCCACGGGCTGCTGGTGTTTCTCCCTTCCAAGTCCACAGCCTGTGTTACATCCAATTCCCTCAGCACAGCTAGAAGGAAACAGCAGGGGTGGTTTTTCAGCCCAGCTCTAAGCCTCCCATGAACCAGCATGTACTCCCAAAAATGTCTTTTTCCAGGGATTTGTCCTGTGTCACTCTGCCCTTCGCTGCCCTCCAGCCCTGCTAATACCCTCCAAGGAAGCTGAGATGGGGGCTGCTCGATACAGCAGCCCTGAAAGATGACACAGGCCTTTGCTTGCCCAGTTGAAACCACTCAACCATCTCCAAAAGACACTTTGATTTGCTGCAGTTTATTATTCGTCAGAGTTACACTGAGGATGCTCAGGTCACACATCTGGTGTGTTAGAGGTGACATCTCCAACACACTTTGGGTGATGCTGGTGGTACCCAGGAAGGAGAGGTGCAGGGGGATTGTGCATTCAGGAGGTAATTTCCAGGGGATTTTTAATCCCAGGAGACTCTTTCCTCCCCATGGGAATGTGCTACCAGCCAACCAGTCCTGCCAGTCCCTGCCAGGTCACTGAGGACCCATCCTGGCACCCTGAGGATGCTGCTCAGCCTTGTAGCCCCAAGCCTGGGCACTCACCACCTTCTGAAACTCTGCCATGTGCTGCTGGGGGATGGCGACTGTCCCCACATCCCCATCAGCCTGACAACCTCATCTGCACTGCCCAGTGGCCTCATCTCCCATGGAAAACCTGAGGAGACAAACATGGGGTGATTTTTTCTGTGTGAAGCTCTCAGCAAAGCAACCTCAGCAGGACTGAAAGCCTGAGGCTGCTCAGACCCCTCTGCCTTTGGGGCAGCCCCACCTTAACCACATCTTGCTTCCAGCACCCACCACACGCTGCGGTTCTGCTTCCATTTCACTGGGACCAAACCCTTTGTCCAGCTCTGAACTGACCCCACGAGGGTCACCAACACTCACATCCCAGGGAACAGGCAGGACTGGGGCCAGCACCACTCTCCCCGGGGTATTGCAGACTCCCCAGTCCCCACTAAGGGAGGGGACAGACCCCAACAGAGCTTTGCTGCTCCTGTCCAAGCTGTTGGCATCCAACCAGTGCTTCCTCAGGAAACCCCCCACATCCTCCATCACATCCTCATGGATCTGCCTTTGCTGGGATGGATCCTGCAGGGAGCACAGGGAAGAGCAAAGACCAGCAGGGACATGGTCAATCTTTGCCTGTCCCGTCCTGCCACCGCTGCTGCCAGAGCAGCTTCATCTCTGAGAAACCTCCTCGTTTTATAGAGGAGGAGAAATGCCCTTCCCTGCTATCCCTGCCTATCTAATCTCCCTCTCGCTGCCCTCAGCCTGTGTCAATATTTTGACACAAAGCACAGCAGAGTTTGTGTCCTTTCTCTGGTAAAATGACACAGCTATTAATATATCAGATAACGAGCTCCAATGATAAAGAGCTTCTAAGAAACGAGTCTGGATCCTGGGAAAGAGCAGTGTTACCCCAGCTACCCCCAGCCAAGGTGTTCCCCGTCCCCTTCACCCACAGATCATGATTCCAAATACTCCAGCTGTTGTTTTACCTGATTTAATGGCCCTGCTTCAGGATGTAGGAGTCATTTAGATGTCATGGCTAACTTAATCTGACCTCATATTCCCACTCTGACCTAATCACAGGACTTTGTTAACCCTTACCCAGCTGCAAGGTAGATTAGTGCCTTCCCACATGCACCTCTGATGAGGTTTCCTGATGCTCAGCTCATGGAGGTGAGAACCAACCAGCCCCGTGGCTTTATCCTCAGAACAATCAGTTCAGCCCTGCCAGTACCAGCAGCAGCAAGAGACAGGAGAGCGTGTCCCTGCAGTCATTCCAGGGTCACCACAAACTGCCAGCAAAGCAAGGTCCCCTGCCACTGGTGAGCTCTGCATGTGCCTGAGTAGGCACTAGTGAGCATCCTCCTGAAGCACAGCCTGGCAGCAAGCGATGGCTGGAGGAGGATGAAGCTGTGACACCTTGTTAGGGACACACACAGCCTTTCCAGACACATGCACCTGATAGCACAGAGCAGAACTGGCTTTTTGGGGAATCCCTTAGGGAACTCCTGTCCCTCAGGGTTGTGGTTGGTGTTTAAGACCAACACCAGTCACATTTTGGTGTCCTGATCCTCTGCATTGCAGCCTGGGGAATGGTGCTTCTCACCTGCAAAGCAAAGTCCTTGCAGGAATTGGGCTCAGGACCCTTGTCCTGGGCTTGTCCCTCCTTGAGGACAAGGAAGACAGAAGTGGGGTGCAGGCAGCCCAAAGGCAGCAGCCAGGACATGGGGGGACAGCAGCCGCCTGCTTTGCCTTGCAGAGGGGACGGGGCTGGTCTGTGGGACATCTTCACGCCCAAGGGCTTGGGAGAGCTGGGCTGCACTGGCTGCAGGAGCTCCACCAGCGTGGAGAAGGACTGGTCACTCCCATCCCTTTGCAGCCATGCCCATGGGGCTGTGAACTCTGCCCAGCCCAGGCAGGGCTGACCTTCCTTCAGGACATTCATCAGAACCACCTCCAAGCGTGAACTCACTAAGGCTGAGACTCGGTCCCATAACTGTTAGAAGTCAACAGCATGTCATACCCCTTCACAAGAAACATAAATACATCGACTTTAGCTCTGACCCAGCCCAGGGACACCTTCCCCACCACTTTCCCTGTGCTGACTCTGCAGAAATCTGCCCAGGACGTTATCACGGCGCTTACATGGCTGGAGAAAGAGCGGCTGAGACACACAACCCATCAGCCTGCGCTCAGTCGTCACTCAACAAACTCAGAAGGTCAGAGACAATTTGGGATGTTGGGGTTTATTTGTAACAGGAGACTGTGAGAACAGACACAGAAATCCTGGAGGGACAGGGAGCCACGTGGGCACGTAGAGGAACACAAAGGGACATGGGGACTCTGTAACACTCCAGCAGCGCTGGCCGAGGTGTGTTTGGCCAGGAGAGGGGCTGGATTTTGCTGTTCCACTCCTCTAGGCTGAAGTGGCGAAGCCAATACGGTTGTTGGCCATGTCAAAAACGGTGTAATACTCCTTGAGGAAGACATCACCCAAGATCCAGAGCGGCTGCCCGTTCTGGGAAGGCAGGTAGGTGACCTCAATCCCAAGAGTGCAGTAGCCATTGTTCTGTAAAGGGGGAATAACGAGGAGTCAGAGCCTCAAACAAGCACCAGGACCCTGTCACTGGGCTGCAGGGAGGTGGGATCTACCTGCACATCTAGAGAGAGCATCACTGCTTGTCAAGAAGCACCAGGTCCTTTCCTGGCCCTCAAAGACTCAGCAGGATGGATCTGCTCAGCTAAATACATACGTTTGTGACGTAGGCAGAGGGGTTGAGTGGGAGCTGAGCTCCATTGATGACGAAGGTGATGGTGGGCATGCTCTGGACCGCATTGCAATCAACGGCGTACTGTGGAGAGAGGGTGGAGAGGAGGTTATGGCTGGAACAGCACCCACTGTGAGAGGAGAGAGACTCCACTGTGTGTGGGTAACACAGGCTTTATCCCCTGGCAGTGTCACATCACCTCCCTGACATGCCTGTAGCACCATGTTCTCTAGATGCCACATGAGTTTTGTGAGACGTGGCCAAGCCCACAGCCTCTGGCTCACTTGCAAGTCCCCCCACTGCTCCGTGAACACCTCCAAAGCACCCCTTGCACTTACACCATAGCTGGTCTGCTGGGCACCCATGGCCTGAAGGAAGCTGTTCAGGTACATCTGTGGCACCGTCAAGTCCCTGTGTCCACGATGGCCTGGCAGCCCTGGCTGCACCAACCTGTAGGTGACTGTCCGATAGCAAACCTGGGAGGAGAATGGGGAGAAGGACATCACTTTAAGCACCCACTGGACAACTAAACCTGTCTCAGCTGGATCTATAAGCCTGGGATGCTCTGAAACTCAGTGCCTCAACCCCACACCTGCTGCAAGAGCTACAGCTTCATCTGGAAGACAGTTGAAATGTCCTCATGTCATGAGCTTCCCAGGTGGATGATGCCCATCAGGTACAAACACAACTCACTCATCAATTGCGACCTGCCAGTAGAGCTCCTGGGTCACTGGTGCCCACACAATGTTCCCATTGTAGAACTGACTGTCAACTCCTCCAAGAATGAGCTCTCCTCCGTAGTTGTAGGTGGGTTGGCTGCAAAAACACCAAGTTACAGCAGCAGAGATTAGCAAATTAGTGTGATATCAGGTTAGTGAGGGACAAACTTGCAAGGAACCTGCACAGGGACAGGCAGAGGGACACCAGTGCACGTGGGATGTACAGAGAGCCCCAGCAGTTTTGTACCGAGAAAAGTAGAAGCTGAAGACAGGCTCGGTGAGCTGGTTCTGCTGCAACATGCCCTGCAGTGCGGTGGGCGTCCCTCCCACTGCCAGCGAGGGGTAGGCCATCCCCATGATCCCATCAAAATCGGCGTAGTAGAAAGGCTGGGTTGGTTCATTCTCACTGAGCCCAAACTCCTGGTTTGTGACCGCGATGCTCTGGATCTGGAGGGGAAAGGGACAACCAGGTCAGCCTGTCTGCTTAGGCAAACCTGAGCAGCCGTCAGATGGGATGATTGATGCTCTGAAAGCCCAACAAGCACACCACAAGGTCACAGCTGGTGAAAACATCTCCAAGCAGCTGGGAAAATTAGTAGGAATTGGGTTAAAATGAAGTAAAAACCCAGCTGGGTAGGTGACGGTGGCGATGACCACTTTATATCCCTTCTGCCCATCCCAGACACTGGTTTGCCCAACTCTTGTCTACATGAGACATGAGATCTGTCCTTAAGTTGTCCCCCAGCCTCCTCCCATCTGTCCACCCAGCTGATGCTGTGGACACAGTGCCCAGGAAGGCAAGGACAGCGCGGGGTGCACTCACCTGCAGCGTGTCATAGCCCAGCACCACTGTCAGCGCGCCGCTGCCGTAGGACAGGGTGTAGGACTGGCCGTTGTTGGTGAAGGTGGAGGACGCACTGGGGTTGAACTTCGCATGGTTGGCTGCGTGAGAGAGAAAAGGGTAAAGCTCCTGAAGCTCCTGGGCACGCGCTCGCCTGGCTACGGTGGAATTTCACCACTGGTCACTCTGCCGGGATAACATCTGGGAAAGCGGCTTCTCCGGCAGAACGTGAGTTGTGAAGAGCAAAACGGGCTGTTCCTCTGCCTCCTTGTTGTCTCCAAGGCAAGGTTTGCAACCCAGTTTTGCCTGAATCCCTCTCGAGGGAACAGTGATCACAACATCAGCTACCCAGCGTGAGCAAAGCCAGCAGCAGTTCCATCCCCGTCGCTCTCCTGCTGGCAGCGAGTTACATGGGATGAGCTCTGCTGGGGAACAGGACATGAGCTCTGCTGAGGAACAGGACATGAGCTCTGCTGAGGAACAGGACATGAGCTCTGCTGGGGAGCGGGACATGAGCGGCTTCTCCGGCAGAACGTGAGTTGTGAAGAGCAAAACGGGCTGTTCCTCTGCCTCCTTGTTGTCTCCAAGGCAAGGTTTGCAACCCAGTTTTGCCTGAATCCCTCTCGAGGGAACAGTGATCACAACATCAGCTACCCAGCGTGAGCAAAGCCAGCAGCAGTTCCATCCCCGTCACTCTCCTGCTGGCAGAGAGTTACATGGGATGAGCTCTGCTGGGGAACAGGACATGGGACATGAGCTCTGCTGGGCAGTGGGACATGAGCTCTGCTGGGCAGTGGGACATGAGCTCTGCTGGGCAGTGGGACATGAGCTCCATGACTCATAGCTTTGCTTTTCCCTCCTCCTGGCCAAGCAGGTCAGGCACAACCCCTGTGATTTCTGTGCTCTGGGGACACCCATGACAGCCGTAGCCATTTGGCCATCTTCATTAGCCAGGTACCTCAGGGCAGAGGGCTCTGGATTGCCCAAGCAAGGCAGTAGCTGGTACCAAGGAGCAGCTATCCCAGAGCAGCATGCTGGGAGCATTTTTGGCCTGGCTTCACCATTTTCCCCGTGTGATGGGGCTATGCCGTGCTGCTGGGGGTCCCTGTGCCCTGCAGCTGCGGTACTCACAGCACGCCTGCGTCTGGCAGTAGACAGAGGGTACCCACAGGTTGGAAGAGCCGGTGTCAAAGAGCACTAAGAAGTTCTGTGGAGGGGTCCCAATGCTGATCTCCCCAAAGTAGGAGGACTGCAGATGAGAGACAGCACATCTCTGTTAGCTATAGGGTTGGGGTGAGACCAGGCTTTCTCCTCCCACCCCTGTTACCAGCATCCCAGGGCTTTGCAGGATGCCAGGGAATGCCAAGCTCACCCTTGCAAATAACACAGCAGGCAGGAATGGACTGAACACTCACCTTGTTTTTTCTCCCCAAAGATATAATATTAAATATTTATTACCTTATGTCTTTTGTTACATCTAGAAAAACATCACTTTTTATTGCTAGACTTTCGAAAGTCTAAAATAGAAACTTAAAAAGGAATGGGGAAAAAAAATAACCTCTCACTTCTGGAGGGTCAGGGGTGAAGATTGCTCCAGCAGCTGGGGAAGAGGAGGGAGAGGGGAGCACGATGTACAGCCAGACAGCGAGACAGGGGGGAGCCCGGGGTACTCACATCCAGGTGGTTGGTTATCGGCTCGTTCACAACATAGTCGTTACTGAAGTTGTATTTCTTGGCTGGATCATATTTAATTTTCTTCAGGAATTCCTGCAGCACTCCTGCCTCCCTCATTTTTTCCCGTATAGACTTGGCTTTCTTCAGTTTGATTCTGTACAGAGGAAAAAAAAAAACCCAAAAACCAGAACAGTGGGAAAACAGGAGAAGACTTGGGCATTTTCAAAGTTCCCCAGACTCCTTTGAACCCTCCACTCCACTGCCTTGTACAACCCCAGGGGCTGGCTTTCCTCCCAGTGAGGAATGCAGCCTGGACTAGGACCACAATGGTCTGTGGAGATGCAGGAGGCTGGAGTCACACCTGGTTAGACATGGTCAGCATCCCTGGGGACACAGCGCAGCCCGTGCAGGTTCCAGCCACAGCCGGGCTCTGTTCTCTGCCCTCTCCCTGCTCTCCCTGCTGCAGTGGCTGCTGCAGGACACTCACCTCACCAGCCCCTCCGAGAGCTGGAGGCACACCAGGGCCAGGATAATCCACTTCATGGTGCAGGAGATGTCCACCAGTCCACACACACCTTCTTGGAGACCGTAGCAGGTAGGCTGAGCTGCCCAGACTCCCCAGTTTTATACTGGGAAGCGGTGACCCCTGCCCCTTATCTGCTGACCTCCTTTTTCCATTACCACCAGGCGCACCCCTGGCTTCAAGGGTTTCTTTGTATTTGGGGCCACAAGGATTTTGAGGAGTTTGTGTCCTTAGTGAGGTGCTCAGGTGAGAATCGATCAACACAAGGTCTTTGATAGCAAGATCAAAGTGTTACCATCCGATAAGAGGCCAACTCTTATCACAGCAAAGAGAGGAGTGACCCAAACGTCACTGTGCTGGGGTGTTATCTCTGTTCCTCAAAACTTTTTCCCAAAAACAAAGGCGCTCGTGGCTCTTGGCGCAGGATGGAAACGCGTCAGGCTTTTATCTGCCCTTCTTCCGCCCGGCCGGCACAGGGGACCTTCTGGCGTGGAGGTGGCTGCTGGTGGTGAGGTTTTTCCAGGACATGGTGCAAAGAGCAGGAGCTGTCCCAGGGGCTCGGGGAGCTCATGAGGTTTCTTCTCATGCTTTCTTGTAGGTGGTCTCCAGCACTGCTCTGCCTTCTGGTCCATCCTTCTCTGCTTCTTCCCCTGGTCTGTCCTTCTCTGCTTCACCTGGTCCATCCTTCTCTGCTTCACCTGGTCTGTCCTCTGCTTCATCTGGTCTGTCTTTTTCTTCACCTGGTCTGTCTTTTTCTTCACCTGGTCTGTCCTTCTTCACCTGGTCTGTCCTTCTCTGCTTCACCTGGTCTGTCCTTCTCTGCTTCACCTGGTCCATCCTTCTCTTCTTCACCTGGTCTGTCCTTCTCTGCTTCCCCTGGTCTGTCCTTCTCTGCTTCATCTGGTCTGTCTTTTTCTTCACCTGGTCTGTCCTTCTTCACCTGGTCTGTCCTTCTCTGCTTCTTCACCTGGTCTGTCCTTCTTTGCTTCATCTTGTCTGTCCTTCCCTGCTTCTTCACCTGGTCTGTCCTCCTGCACCTCTTCATCAGCCTCTTAGTCCTTCACCATCCTCTCCTCCAGCTATGGCTGGTTTCCCTATGTTGTACACCTCAACCCTGCTTCTGCTTTCCTACTATTTTGGACAGAAATAATGTATTTTTGCAATTTTTTTTAATTATTTTGTGGAACAAGTGATTTCCTTCCCATCCTGCATTACCAGCCAGGTCCTGTGTCTCCCTGCATGGGGAGGTTTAACCCACCTGTGGAAGAAGCCCTTGGGGCTGATTGAGCTGCAGCTTCACCCATGAGGGTGAAAGTGGAGAAAAAATAGAGAATCACAAACACAGAGCTCAGAAACTGACAACAAACACCCAAACAAACCAAAACATTTTTGGTTATAACCCAAATATTTTTCTAGCAAATGGACCCAAATATTTTAAGTTATAACCTAAATATTTTCTAACAACCAGACCAAAATATTTTTGGTTATAAACTAAACATTTTCTAACAAATGGACCAAAATGTTTTGAGTTATAACTTCAATATTATCTAGAATTTCTCCAGCCTGCTTTGCATCCCTGCTCTGAGCAGCTTGGCTCTTCACAGTGGGGAAATCACGCTCTCCGTCATCCGCCGATAGCCCGGCACCGCTATCGCTGCTCTCATCCCCTGTCAACACTGCATAGATTTTATTCCCTTGGGAGTACTGGGAAGTGTGTGTCCTTTGCTGGATATTGAGACTATAATAAAGCAATTATCTTGTTTGCTAGCAGGATTGATAGAAAGATCAACTTATTAAGATTGGATAAAAAAGCAAATTCTGGCTGAAAGCAAAGAGCAGTTATCAAAACGTCAATACAGGGAGTGTTATCTCCAGGTCCCAACGGGGCCTCAGCCTTGGCAAAAGACAAAGGAATAAGGTGCCCTCTACAGCACAAACACGTTCTACTTTTGGCATTTCTTGACCCAAAGTTAGACAGCACTTGTTTGCCAAGGCACTTTTAGGCTATCGGGAATTCAGGATCTACAGTTTCTAACATCAGTTTCTCTATGTGGAGCAGGACTCGGCCAACAGCACATACCCAAGGCAGGACTTCTCCTTGGGACATTTTCCCTTCTTTGCTTTTGGTTTCTTTTCCATGTTGGTGGAATCACCCAGCCCATGTGCAAACAGCTCCAGCCCAGGGAATCCTGTCTCTCCCAACTGAATAGTTTCCATTTGCATCCCATGGCCATGTCCATCCCAGAACTCTGCGGTGGTGCAGAACCAGTAAAGGAGATGAGCTGTGAGCAGCAGCCATCCCAGGTATCTGGAGGGCTTAAGGACTTTCAACATGAGCCAACAGATCCTGCTAAACCAACAGCCACTGTGGAGCTGGGCACCATATCCCAAAACCTGGTAGCTCTCAACAGAGCTTTTTGCAGGATTAAAAATGGGTATTAAAGTGGGATTCAGATTCCCCCAGGAGCCAAAGACCTCTCCTGTCTTCAGACACCACTCCCAGGGGACAGAAACCTTTTCAAAGACATTGTCACAGAATCCCAGAATTGCCTCGGTTGGAAAAGCCCTTTAAGCTCATTGAGTCCAACCATGAACCCAACACTGACAAGTCCCCTATGACTAACCCATGTCCCTCAGCACTGTGTCTACACGACTCTTCAATCCCTCCAGGGATGGGGACTCCACCACTGCCCTGGGCAACCCCTCCCTTTGCCTCAGAACCCTTTCAGCAAAGAAATTCTTCCCAATGTCCAATCAATAATGTTCTGATGTCATCACCCTGAATTTCCTAGTCAACTCTACGCTCTGCTCTACCCATAACAAAAACACAGGGAAATGCCTGCTCCCAACTCTAGGACCATTTCGCACCCCAGTTCCTGCACCTCTGCCCCAGACACAAGCTATTGCCATTTACCTCAACAAATGGTACCACAGAACTTAATAAACATGAATATGGGACCGCCAGGAGCTTCCCTTGGTCATTAAAACCTGTTGCTCTCACAAGCACCACGTCAGTGAAAACCCCTCCTGAAGATGCCAAATCCCATCTGAGGTAACGCTCTCCCTCCTTGATCATTAGAACAGTCTTAATCTATGTGATTAATTTAAAATAGCTGTATACACTTCCCCTGAAGGACAACTGCTCACTTGGGTTCTCCAACTAAGAAAAGCTGTTGGTGGGAGCCACAATGGCACAGGTATGTCTGAAGCAGCTGTGTTTATGGGTGGAAAAGCACATGGATCCTTTACTCCGTGTTGCACGAGCTGGTTTGAGTGTTTTATTTCCAAAACAGAGATTACAGTACACAGATGAACAGCTTCCATCCACCTGCAAATAAATATTCCTCCTTTCCTAGGCAACCACGAGAACAGCTCCTGAAATAAACAGCTAGATTCCAGGTCTAACATTTAAATTCCCAAATCAGGCTGAGGATCAACCACTTCATGATGATCTTCTCTTGCAGGCAATTTCCAAAGAGATCTCCTCACCAGTTTCAGACCCAAAGCTGATGTTGGAGCTCTACACCACCTTCTTATACACCCCAAAATAGTCCTGACCTCCTTGCATCAGTGTCCACTCAGGCACCTGCAGTTTAGAAATGCACCCATTGCAAGAGATTTTCCCGCAATGCTCCGGACTACCCTGAAAACTCAAACACCAGTGGCAAATGCCATGCTATTTTCAGCTTCTTTTTGAAGGAGCTATCAAAGCCTTCCTAGAAAGAGAAGTGAACGTTGTTTCATTGTGTTTTCTTGGGATAGGATGGAAAGAACATCATGGGTTTATCATCAGTTGCGTTATCTCCTCTGTTTCTCTTCCAGTTCTCACCTCCAGCATTTTAGGAATTCATGGAATGACCTTGAAGGAAAGAAACATATGGATTTGGGTTGGAAAGACACTGCACGTGGAGGCATGCTCACTTGGGAAGGCACAGATGGCCCTAGTAGCTGTGCTCAAATGGACTCCTCCTGTGAAAGAGTTTTCAGGGGGAATCTTATAAGCCAAGGAATTAAACTGTGCGTGTTACCACGTGATTAGCTCTTATTTGCTGTAGAGTTCAGAAAAACAAGGAAACCAACTCTTTGCACAAAGCGATAGCAGAGAACCCGTGGGGAGGCCCCGTGCCTAGAGCAGATCAGCACAACCAGGAAGAGTGAAGCCACATCTTGTTCAATGTTGGCAAAAGCACCATAATTCCCACCAGCCCCCAAATTCCACTCCTCCAAAGTATTATCTTGTATTACCCACAGTGGAGACAGTGTGTCTTAAAGGGTAGGTACTCCAGAGACCATGAATTGCAATGTTCAACCTACATCCAGGTTGGATGAGGCTTTGAGCAACCTGGTCTAGTGGAAGGTGTCCTTGCTGCTGGCAGGGGGGTTGGAACTGGATGAGCTTTAAGGTCCCTTCCAACCTAAACCATTCTGTGATTCTATGATCTACAGCACATCCATTTCCAAAGCTACTTCATGATTTCCTCCTGGTGCTCAGCTCAATGGAAATCTGGTGTACACACTCAAGATTAATTATCAGTGAATGGCTCTGCCCCAAAGAGAGTCACCATGAAGGAACTGGTAGCTTCAGAGCCTCAGCTTTTGTACCACACAGGCCAGAGAACCTCATCTACACATTTCTGGGGGTTCAGCTTCCATCTCAAACAAGCAGCATGTGGAATTGTCCTGCAAAGATATCCCCAGAGGTCACCAGCCAAGAGAGCGAAAGGTGTCTGTCTTTGCACGCACACCTCTGGTTTTAATTTCAGGTTTTTTAAAATCCATTGTAGTGAGACTAACCAGGTGGAAGACACCAACCACCACTCCAGGTAAAACACACGAGGACATGGACATTATTCCATCAGGGGAGGGAAACCTGGAAAACAAAGGTTGCAAGAAGTCCAGCTTGAATTGCGTTGAGGACCACTGGTGACTGCTGGCCTGGCTTTCAACTTTTAAATAAAAAGTGAATTCACTTTGAAATGTGACAATGGTTTCTCTGCACCACACACAAAAGACAGGACCACCAGATAATCAT